TGTGCAGATGCAGGGTTTGGTTTGTCTGCACACTGGGGTAGGGACTGATTTAGAATTGAATTTCAAACTCCTCCTTAATAAGTGCTTGTGTATTGGGAGCTGGGTTTTCAGTTTGCAAGAAGACCTGAGTTTTGAAATAGCACAGGAAAAAAAAAAAAGCGTTGCTTCATATGCCTAATGTGTTGTCTTGATGGCTGTGGTTGCCAGTACCATCACAGGAGTTGTGTTCAGGTTGGTAACTGGACTGCTGATACACAGCAGCTAAAGGCACATCTGCTCATTTTTTGCATGCAGAATTACATGTGCTTTCCTGAAAATGGCACTTAAATACCCCCTTCTCCCAAATGTGACTGGTATTGATGCACAAACAGAGTGCAGAATGAGTGGATTTTATTTACGCAGAGGTGAACCGATGATTTTAATCATGTCCCACATTTCATTTTGTTTAGAAACCAAATCATAGCAGAAAACTAAATTAGAAAAGTCTCCTTGTTTTCTGAATGATGTTATTTATTTATCTGCCAAAGTGCTTTGCATTTCCTCAGGTCACAGACCAACCCATGTCTGGTTATGTTAATATTATAAGTGTTATGCAAAAGCAAAGTTTAAGAAAAATCTTTCAACTGAAAGAAATAGGATCTTAAAATCCCAAAATAGAGTATGGAAAGGTACACATCATGTCTGGCTTCTCTTTCCCCTTGTGGCAAATGTGACTCAAAGGAGTTGGGTTTTTTCCAGCTCGATCTGTATACAGTTTGGGGGAGTTTTATTGTGAATAGGTCACCTTATAATGCACCAAAATATTTCCTCCCAGAGTTCTGTATTCATAAATCTTTCTTGATTCACACTCTCTCGAAACTGAAATCCAGATGATTTCATTTTCTTCATGGGAAGAAGAATGAAAAAGAGTAAAGGAACACCTTGGCGCTAGGCTGGTCCGCTCTGCTGACGCTCCTGTGGCCAGGCATTGTGCCTTCCCCTTGGGCAGCTGCAGGGCTGATGAGCAAAAGAGTAGGACTGAAAAAACTGAGACTTCTGAGTGGCTTGGTTGTTGCTAAGAGAGGAAAAAATGAATTTCAAAGTTGTTATTTAAAAAATGCTTTAAGTCTTTGCTTCTCTGTAGGGTTCTTTAAAGGTTGCTTTTACTCCTTCTTTGTTCAACCAAAGAAAAGATCAGTGTTATGGTTAAATACTAAAGCAGCTGCCTAGCATAGTGGAGGTGAGTGTTTATTGAGAGTAACAGTCTCTTGTAGTTAAATTTAGAGGAAAGACATATATCTGAAACATAGCTTTAGTATATTCTTTCATTGTAGCTCATAATGAATTTTTCTGCAAAAAAAATGCAGCACAAAATATTAACTCATTTCTGTCCCTACAAAGCAGAGTTATCATCACTGTTTCCCTGTTACAGATAAACAGAGACATTATATGACATAACCAAAACTATGTAGTAAATTGATGGCAAAGCTCTGTGTAAAACTCTGATTTTAAAGCTCCAGGAGCATTTCTGTGGGCTGTCCATCTTCATTTTTTGTTCCTAAGTCATCTTGATGTATTCTTAGCAAGTGAAAGGTAGATGTAAATGCTTATGGTAAATGATCACCTATATTATCCTTTAAAACATAATCAGTTTATTCAAGATGAGGACACAGCCTTTTAAACAGGGATACTTGGCTCTTACATATTTTTCTCTTTGTATTTGCATTTTTATAATGCTGTTTTGATTTTTATAGTGATGTCATCCCAAAGCATCACCATAATGCCATAAATTACCAATAAATTATGTTACTTTCTTCCACCAATCAAACAATTTATTTAAAATCTGGCTCTGTGGAGGACCAGAAGGCTTTTTACTATGTGTTTTATACCCCCTCACCCAGCAGATATGTTCATTGCCATATGAACAATCAATTCCTCTCTTCTTTAAGTATATATACATTTATACAGACGCATACCCACAGACATACATATTATTAGAAGACCATGAATAGTTTTGCCTTGGGAACTCATTCTATACATGAGCAAACACGACTTAAAATTACTTTTAAAGGTGGCCAGTATTAAAAACTGTGTATGTAGCCAGTTCTGTTACAGCTGCTACTGACTGTGCTCACTAGGGGCAAATTTTCTTTTGTAATTTATTATCTGTTTTCCTCCATTCCACTCTCCCACCTGTAACTCTGGGATTTTGTTCTGCCAGGACAGAGGGTAGAGCGAAAGCTGCTTTGCTATCACTGTAATAACTGTTCCAGTCCAAAGGATCCTCTCGTCATCTTAGCTGGATCCACAAAGAATTACTCTGTCAGGCATGACGATAAACATGCTCGGTACTTAAAAACTACTTTTGTCTTCTCCTTTTCCCCTTGTGAAGACAAGATGGCTTTTGGTCATACAATGGCTTTTCACTGAAGGCCAGGAAAACTTGGATTTTGAAAGTACCATACTTAGGATGAGTTTCAGTATGACTCCCGGAGGACCTGGGCTTAATGGGCCTCCATGGCTAAACAGGAGTGATTCCTACATTCATGCCTGTTCCTGGTAGATCCATCATGTTGACCTCTCTCGCTTTTAATCTCCTATACACTCTATACTTTTCTAAATCTCCCCATGGCTACCATTGTATTTATCACATTCTTGGCAACGCTGCTTCTCCAGTACCAGCTCTTGTGCTTGGAGTCCAGCTCCACTCCTCCTCCACCTCGCTCCCAGAGCCAACTGGCGTGTTTGCACAAAGCTTGTACTCTATTTTCCTTCCTCACAATCTCCGAAGCGCTTGTGCGAGTGAGCTATCGTAGGTGTCTGAGCTGCAGCTGGGCTGGATTCTGTAATTCTTTCTTGCACAACCCCTACTTAAGGCCTGTTGACTTCAATGGAGCTATTCATGTTAGTGGGGGCTGCAGATTCGGGCCCTTGGGTTGTAAGGTCTCTGGGGCATAGACCTTGTCTTTGTATGCCTTGCAAATATGTGCTAGATGAGTAATGATAGCTCAGAAGAGTGAGTGTCGCTTTACATTTGCCATACTGAAGGAAGGTTGCCAGGATTGCACTGATGCTGCATGGGGTCCCCTTCCAGGGGGGAATTAATCCTTTTATGCCTCCTGCTGACTGGTGAAAAGAAAAAAGAAAAAAAAAAACCCAACAGTTTGGCCATGAATACCATTAGTTTAATCTTCCTTTTCTCTGATCTTCCAGTACTATTTGCTTTGTATGGCTTCATCAAGGTTTTGTATGTGGACAGAATAATTGAAAACAAATTTAGCATGTCTCAGACCAGAAAGTTCCCTTTCAGCTAGATCACTGGCTATGCGGTAGATAAATGTCTGGTTTTCATTTTTGGTTATGTGAGAAATTTAGAATGGTTTGATTTGTAATTTTGAATGTTAATAAGAAAGGAGAAATTTCCTTGTCTCTTGGCCTACGGAGGCATTCTGGCTTTCTTGCTTGTCTTGCAGCAAATGCTGTTTATAAAAATGTTATTTAGTACAGAAGAGTCTGATTATGTCCTTGAACTCTAGAGGCTCCAGTCTCTGAGTTCAGCTAAGACCTCCTTGTGCCAGGTACTGTGCAGTCACAGACCAAAAATGCCACCCCTACCTGTACAGATAGTGTTTAAATGAAATGCAAGAGGAATGGCTGAAGGTGAACCACCAACTGGTGGAAGGCTGAGTTTCAAAGAGCACTGAATCAGCACCAGTCCACAGAAGTGATTTCAGGAGAACATATTTCCTTTTAAGACAATTTAAGAATTCTGCAGACAGGGAGATTTGTAGGGAAGAGATGTAGATATTTAAAGGGACATCCTCCCTAGGGGAAGAGGAGCAGATGGGCAGAAAATGCAATGCCGTGAGTGTTTAAGAAGTTGATGCTGGTGTTTGGGGCTAGATTTGGGAAGTTCGGGAATACTTGTTGATAACTGGGTAGAAAATGAGAGATGAGAGGGCAAAGAGAAGAGCATGGCTTTGAAGATGAAGGCAGACAGCTTATGTCTGGTATAAAGGAGACAGAGGAAGCTGCTCATGTCACCCTGAGCTTCACATCTCTCCAAAGTGAGAGGTTGGAAGGACAATCCTTCGAGCTGGGTTTGAAATGGATGTGATCTGGGGCAAGACTGCACATGCCAAGGACAGAGAAAGGGATGTGGCAGGGTTCATAAATTTCTGAAATGTTTATACATTGTTTAACATTGCAGTTCTCAAAATCGCAGACACATTTGCTAGATACTTCCAGTTTAGGGGTGAAAAACCTTATTTTTAACTGCAGTTGAAGAAGGAATCACAAGCTGAGCTGAGGCAAAGTCATTTTAGCAGGTGTTAGGCTCAACAGAAACTAGAGTTTGCAAATTGGATGTCACATAGGGACTGATTTAAAGCCCCCTATGTCAATGGGCATCTTCCATTAGCTTTGATAAGGTCTGGAGAAGGTGCATATGGGAGTACCACGTATATACCATATGTACAAATGCAAATGAGAGACGACTTCTGTCCTTACTGTGTTTCCTGCTACACAGGAATTGCTGCCCAAGGCTGCAAGTGTGGAGAGTCAGCTCCGCTTTGTAGCTTTACTCACCCCACAGAGAAAAACCTTTTGAACTTTATTTAGGAATCAGTCACTGCAAATTAAACAAGTGTACTCACAAATAGACCTTTTGAGGGGATATATCAGTCTGTTTTGGAGACAACCAGAAAAATTTCTGGTAATGGAGAGCTTGTCTGGAATTTTTTCTTCTTGATATAATATTTTTTTTCTTTTTGATATATTTAGTATTATAACCATTAATTACATGTTTTCCATTAGCTCCCTTCCCTACATATCATGGACTCCAGCGAATACTCTTAAGAGGATGTCTGTTTCTGAGAGTAGGAAAGAGTCTGTATTTACACGTATCTTTATGTCTGTATATATCTCTGTATCTCTATATATGTCTGTAGATGTATTTAGTTTCCTGACATGAAGGCATTGCAAGCCCTGTGTGTGATAATAGATTTTTAATGTCTTGCCAGCTTCACGGTTACATGGAGAACAAACCCTTGGGTCTTCAGATCTTCATTGGGACAGCAGATGAACGGATACTTAAACCTCACGCTTTCTATCAAGTCCATCGCATTACGGGAAAAACTGTCACCACCACCAGCTATGAAAAAATCATTGGCAACACCAAAGTTTTAGAGATCCCACTGGAACCCAAAAACAACATGAAAGCAACGTAAGCATATTTCTTTTTATTAGCAAAGTTGAGGAGGTTTAAATTGGCATGTGAAGTTCTTTCTCCTGTGGAAAGGAGTCACCTAAATGAATAATGATATCTGCTCTGGAGTGTCTCCCCTTTCCAAAGCATCGGGATGATATATGTGTGTAAAACCCTTTTTACAAAAGCATGAGCAGCACTTAAAAGCACCTGGGTTAAAGCTGCTTAAAGAGTTACCATTCATCAGCTGACCATGCAGGCATTTTTGCTCTTTACCCCAATGGCCAAGGTGACTGTATTGTAATTACCTGTCGTCTTCAAAGTCAGAATGGTTTTGTAGGGCACTAAGGAAAAAAGAAACTTGAATCTCAAGTCCTTATGCTGCAGTGATGCAATGAGAAGCAAGGAGCAGTAGACAGCAGAGGAAAGGTGCACAGTTCATTTTACAACCTTTAATGGAGTAGAAAACATCTCTCCTGAAGTCAGCCAAGTGCTCTGGCCATGAAATTGCACTCTCTTGTAGTAATAGGTTAACAGAAAAGCAAGTACAGGCACATCTTTTCTGTATTACTTCTTCCAGTTTTATGAAGGCAGAGGGATGGAGTGGGCACCAGTCTGAAACTTCAGGCTTGAACATGTGCCAGGCAGCATGAGAGCGATTACTCTGCAGAGGGAAGAGCTGTATCTCCATCCTTCAGAGGATACTGACAACATTGGCACAGCAGCTCTGTTTTTAAGCCCCCCTACTTCATCGCAAAATCCACGTTCTTTATATATCTTTTTCTTTTTTCAGAAAATATACCTCATTCCTCTCTTTCCTTCAAGCCTCTCCTTCCCTCTGCGCCCAAGGAGATAAATAAAAGTCCACATCTCAAACTTAAGCAGCCAAGTGCTGAATAGAGCATGACTGTTCCTAACGAGTAACCCTGGGGTAATAAACCCCTGCACACATGCAACGGCAAGGAACAGCGTTGGTGTAGGAAACAGCTTGGGGTTTATGCCTCCCAAAATGTGCTTTTAATTCCTATCAAAAGAAGAAAAATGATATGTCTTTAAAACTGATATCAAAATGAGTTGGCAGTGCCTGTCTGATAACAGTGCACCCTCTGAGGGCTATTGCTGAGCTGAAGATCTCAGATTCTGTGAATATTAATTGGCACATTCTCTTAATGTAGACAGGTATGTTTACTAGGTTACACTGGACTCTTAAGAAGTTAACCTGCTCTTACACCAATATTAACTTGCAATGCTGGTTTAAACAATCCTAATACTTTCATTGCCACTCAGCCCCATCCTGCTCCCTACATCCTCCCTTTGTGCAGGGATGTGGTGAATGGGAGCACAATCAGCTGGTTCAGCTACTGTGATTCCCTGCAGAGCTGAACTAATTTGCCCACGTGCAGGCAATAACTGCTGTGCAGTCTTTGGGCACTGAGCTGTTTGGAGAGCTACTCGTGGAGGCTTTAATGCTCTCCAGCTCGTGGAGGACTGTGGCGCAGGCTCAGCTTCTTGCCTGTTCCATGTGCATTACTTGTTCTTGTTCACTCTCCCTGCCCTGGCTCTGCCATACGTGCTCCTGTGCTTAGCATGGGAGGGAAATAAGACTCAGGGTTATAATGTTTAGAGAGTGGCTTCTGCTGTCACCAGAGTGTCCCTAGCTCTTGGCTGGGACATACCTGGGACACGCTGAGCCCAGGATCTTTGGGGAGGGGTCCAGCAGCATCCCTCACTCACTGCGCGTCTGGCATTTCTTCCCCTGTAACTGCTGAAATGGCAGTATCTAGATCCTAAACAGCACAAGTATTTGGAGTTGCTAGCAAAACAGCTTAATCCTCTTGACTGCCACCTGTTTCTAAGCTGTTTGAGAGCAGAAATGTTAAGCTAAACGGTATGTGTGTTTGGCAGCATCGACTGCGCGGGGATTTTGAAGCTGAGGAATGCAGACATCGAGCTGCGCAAGGGAGAGACAGACATCGGGAGGAAGAACACCCGTGTCCGGCTCGTCTTCCGCGTGCACATCCCTGAGTCCAATGGCAGGATCATTTCTCTGCAAGCAGCATCGAATCCCATTGAATGCTGTAAGTATCCACTGAGTTTTGCTTCTTCTCCATCTCTTGCAACAATGATCACCTTGTCCCTCTGCTCCAGGCTAGCACTGAGGGGAAAAACCCTGACATGCTCAGATAGGCAAACGCAAGGTGCTCTGCTCCCCCTGCACTGGCTGGGTCTGTGCCGCTGTTTGAGTGACGTGTGGCTCTTACCTACGTGTACTCCCTTTCCTGAAACAAGCTTTGGTGGCAGGTGGCCCTTCACGGTGCTTAGAGCTTGTGAGGACAGCGAGGGACTTCGGGGCTTTTGCAAAGTTTATTTCTGAGTGTGTTGCTGCTGGATCTGTCTGGCTAGGAGCAGGGAGACAGTGTGGCTGTGCTGCATATAGGGGCTTATATACATTCTTCGTGTTTGTGAATGAGTGTGCAAGCTGCATGCCTCCCTGGGAGTGCTTTTATTTTGAGTGGAGGCACAACCAGAACTTGTTATCCACAAGCTGGCAAGTGGTTGGAGGTTTTGAATTCAAACCTGGGCCAGACCCTAGCACTGTGGCCAGTTCTGCCTGACAAAAGAGTGACCGCAGCCCTCTGATCTGAGCTGTGGCAGGAACACAACTGAAATGGAGAAATAGGTTTGATTTTGAGGCTCAGGTACATCCTGGTCAGTGTTTTTTCTAGATGTGCTAAGAGGTGTACAGCTCAGGAGGCTGCAGCTGAAGCAGGGAAAGCCCAGGTTGTTCTGGTATTCCCCTGAGGGACAGAAGAAAACTTGCAGTTTGATTTCTGAGAGGCAAATCCTATAAGCATGTAAGCTGAGAAATCTGCACCTCCCACTCATTTTAACATACTGGATCCTGAGAAGGAGAGGCCTCCCGCAAGGTGCCCCCCATGTCACAGTCATTTCTGGAAGGGCTCCACCCACTTTGCTGGTTCATGTGCATCCTGTGATGCTTTTTGTTGGTAAATGGTGCCTTTTCAGTGGTTTGGGGATTTCACAAATACATAATGAACAGTTTTCCTCTCCCTTTGCTGAATGACTCACCCCTTTAGCAGAACCTGTCTTGCCATAAGTCATGTGAAGAAAATCACTGAAGAGTTTCTCATGTGTGAGTTTTATTTATTGAGACGCAGGCTTTACTTAAATAACAACTGCTTAGAATAAGAGAGGAGCCAATTTTGGATGGGAAATCAAGAGAAATTGTGACTAGTGAATTATTGATGGCAGGTTTGAAAAAAATAGTAGAAGTGAATAAACAAGGCAAGGCTAAGGAGAAGTTGATGGGTATGTACAATCTCTTGGCAATGTTCATGAGAAGATACTGACCATCAGAGGATTTTAGCAGCTGAGTGAAGTCTCTGGGCACCATGATGGGCAAGGAAGAATAATGGGAGTAGCCACCACCTTTCTCCATAGGAAACATTATGATCCTTTATGGGACCAGATGGCTGAAACAATAGTAGCCTCCACCCCAAACGTGTCCCTGCTGAAACAAAGGCCTGTTTGCTAAAGGAAACATTCAGCAAACTGCAGCTTCTGTGGATAGGAAGAGAACTGCAGCAAAGCATCACCTGGCACCTCCTTCAATTTATTTTCCAAGCGGAAGCAGCCCATTCCTGCCTGCAATGAGGAGCTACTTGGGTGGGGAAACTCCAGGTGTAACCTGTACATCTACTGTACAGAAAAACAGCTCAATCCCAGAGCAGAGAGTGAATGGTTGCTGGGTCATGCAGGGAGCCCTGCAGATCACGCCCCACTTATTCAAATTCTCCTACAGGAAAAGCAAATATGAGTTAGCCAGGCATTTCCAAGACCCTTCCACAATTGCACATTGTATTTATGCCCATCATCAAAGAGCGTTCAAGCAGAAATTCAGTCATGGTTTCCAGGAAAAGATCACATTTTTCCAAATTGTATGTGCACACCTGATTTGCCCGTGCAATGACTGCTCTTGCAATGGCTTGTTTAAGATGTCTGGGCATTTTTACTGAGATGCGTTTGCTTTGATGAGTCTTAGGGGGCATTAAAAAGTCAAGAGTGGAGATACCAGTGTAAAGTGCTTATTTTTATGCTTTTTTATCATTAAAATATGAAAATGTTGGCTGCATAGCAGACAGCAAACATCCTACAAGAAAAAATGTGTTTGTTCCCCAAGAAAAAAAAAGTTTTATTTTTGGAATACTGGATATACTGGCAATTTGGAGAGATGTGTTAAGGACTCTGCTGTTCTGAACTCATGGTATAAAGTGATCTGGAGTAATAAGGCTCCTCCATTTAGAACATACATTGCATATTTAGCAACGTTTTTGTATTTCAGTGGCACTTCCTGATCGCAGCCCAGTTCTGGGAAGATGGTTAAAAACGTTAGTTGGTTCAGCCAGCATTAGTAATGCAGAGTAAATCACACTAGAGATGATAATCTCAGTTTCTCACAGACAATCTGTACATGTTGCCTCAGGTAAGCTCAGGCATCTGGCCTAGAAGAGACATGCCAGGGCTCGGTGACATGTTCTTGTGTCCCACCTCCCACCTTCGTGTGCTGCTTGGATTCTCTTTTTTTCCTTTTCTTTTCTTTTTATTTTATTTTTTTCTTGACACGGCCACCTGGGAACGCTTGTCCGCAGGGGCTCTCCGTTAAGATCTCTCCTGTCTGGTAGCTGTGAATAATATCCCATAGGGAAAGCCTTAGTAAGTAGCAGCTTTAAGATAACTGGCTGTTTCTCTACCAGTGGGGTTCCCCCGAGAGCACTGTTGCTACCAACAGAATAGCTGAGTGCTCTCCTCAGCAGAAGCCGATCCCGGCTCAAAACGCCCACCGGTGTCAGCAGATCATTAGCTGCAATGAAGCAAGAACTGTGAAGTATCTGCTTTTCATGGGGTGATTTGGTTCCACCTCGTCTGTGTCACATTCAGCGCTTGACAGGTTTTAAGAGGGGATTTCACAGGTTCAAAGCATCATCCGGAGCAAGTTCCTCCCCAGGCAGCTGTGTGGGAGGACCAAGGAGGTGATATGTTGTTAAATGATCAGTTATGCCTCAAAATGGACCTCATATCCAGACAAGCCTGCACATTCAGCAGCTTGCAGCTTTTTTCTCCTGTTGCCTGTTGATTATTTCTGAAGCCGCTGAGGAGACAAAGGCATTTGAAAACCCTCTGATAGTTGTAGCAACAGCCCATCACTTACTTTGGTGTCAAAAGCCACTGTCTTGTAGGTGTGGTGCTGGAAAGGTGAGAAAAATCCCTTCTCCTGGGTGTTTCTCCACGATGAGGCCCTGTAATGGCAGCAGCCCCCACAGGTGCTACCTGAGATATCCTCACAGCCCACAAGTCCACGCAGCAGTGTGCCCAGCTCCCTGCCCATGCACCCCTGCACACCTGGGTGCTGTCAGGTGTACTGCGGCTGTGCCTGCCCAAATGACCATCCCTGCTTGTGCAGGTCTACCTTAGGCATAAGCCAGCTCCTGTAGGTGAGCTCTTGCTGGGCCAGGCAGGACTATCACAGAGCTGCTATCACAGAAGGTGGTGAAATCACAGACGTGAGAGGTTACTGAGTTAGTTTGTCCCTTCAAATACAGCCCTAAGAACAACAAGGCACTCGGCAAATTGCCCATGGAGAGCTTTGATATTTGCAGACTTGATAATTATTTTCAAACCGTTAAGACAATTTCTGTAACATTAGTTCTATTCATTTGCTTTGATTTACCTTTCACTGTGAGCTGAAACTCATTGTTTGGTGAGTGAGTGATCTCTAGAGTTGTGTTTCTACTCCTTGGCTGAAGCATCCATGGAACAGAGAAGTAGTATCGAAGGGGGTTCAGAGTAGCCACATAAGCACCCATGAGGCAGCTTGTTTTACTCGATGCTGTCAACAACCAAAAACTGCTTTATGCAAATGTCTGCAAGATGTGAGTGTGAGGCTTGGGAGTATCATCCACACTGTGTCACAGTTTTTATTCTAATAGATCCTGGTTAAACCTTCCCAAAGTGTGTGATGGTTCTTGTTTTGTATAATCTGTGTTTGCCGAGTTTAAGCTCTGCTCATGAATCCCTTAAAATGCAAACAATTGCACTTGGCATGAGAGAAAGAGTCTAAAATCTTGTTCTTATAATAGATATTCCAAGGTGGTAAAAAAACAAAACAAACAAAACTTATTGCTAAAGAACTGTGTGTCCATCTGAGGAATTTAAATAGTTTCTATTATTGACTGTATTTTGTTCCACTAAATTGAGTCTAATATCTTATTTCCCTTTAATCAATTTCCCTGGAAGTTTCCTTTATTTTTCTCTCCTTCTAGTAGATTTTCCCATAATATTAGACAATCTGAGCCTGTGATATGTGGCACATTAATAACTACAGAGGAAAGAGCTAGTCATGTAAAAGAATGTTGTCTTGGCAAACCAGTGAGTGCTTTTCCTCGGCCAGGAGTTGTGCTGGTTGTAATACAATGGCAGGCAAGAAGGAGCCCTGGTTTATGGAGATAAAAAAGCAGAAACAAATGATCTCTTTGCACTTGGGAGATAATCATTTGCAAGTTTAACCATAACCATGATTATTATGAGAGTGGCATGGTTTCCAGTTGAATTAAAGGACTTTTTCCCCCCTTTCATTTCAACTTCAAGACATTCACATAGTCTGCTGTAAATACAGCTGACACAAAAACTGGTGCTTTTTCTAAAGTTAACATTTTCTCTCTGTTAAAACCCAGAATTTAAAAACTGATTCTGACATCTGCCACTTTTAATGTGCATCGAAAATATTTCAATCTGGAAAGTCTGAGTCAGACAGAAGGAAAATGCCCTCCCTTTTTGCAGGCTGCAAGCCTTGCTATGAGGATAAACTCCAGTTTATTTTTTGTCTTTGCAATACTGCTGTTGGTAAAAGCAATCGCCCCAGCATATTACACAGAGCGTGGATTTCTGAGCATAATGTAAGCTCAGCAGATCTCCTCCACAAGGGATTAAAGGGAAATGCTGTGCATACCCGCGGAGATGATTGACAGAGAAGTGAACCGAGGCCATGGTTTTCCTGTCA